AGGGAGCGTGGTCCCCGGAGTGTGCAATAGCGTTCCAGAGACTTAAAACGGCTTTGAGGGAAGCTCCAGTACTGGTGGCCCCAGGCCATAATAAAACATTTCTCGTCCAGATGCCTCTCGTACAGATGCCTCCATGTTTGGGGTGGGAGCCGTGCTGAGCCAGGTGGGGGAGGATGGCATGGAGCACCCGGTGGCATATCTCAGTCGCAAGTTGCTACCTCGGGAGGTCAGCTATGCCACCGTGGAAAAAGAATGCCTGGCGCTAGTATGGGCCTTAAAGAAACTCCAATCGTACCTTTATGGCCGTGCTTTTACCCTACTGACTGACCACAACCCCCACATTTGGCTCAACCGAGTCTCTGGAGACAATCCCCGGTTGATACACTGGAGTTTGGCGTTGTAACCCTACAATTTTACGCTGCAATACCGCCCGGGCAAGCAGAATGGCAATGCGGATGGGCTTTCCTGTCAAACGGACTTGGATGTATAATATTGCTACACGAACATCCCCTAGCCAACCCGGCAGGGTCTAGGCGGGTGTGCCGACCCATGGAACTAAGGGGGAGTATTGTGAAGAGAATAGACTTCTAATTGACATTTTCTTCTTTGTTCGGTACTTTCCCTGTTTATTACCTGTATATTGAATATATTGGTTCGGTAGTTTGAAACTACCGAATGCTGACCACCCTCCTGGCTCATTAACTACAAAGGAACCAGCTATTAAGTGCTCACTGGGCGGCCGCTGTTCGTACAGCCGAACGCCACGTGGAATAGAAAACGGCGGCCATCTTGTTCGCACGAGGGGAGTCAGCGGGACTTGGTCGTCCAGTGTCCTGAACTAAAATCGGACACTCGACCTCCCGAACCACCACTGAAACTACCGAACGCCGGCTTCCTGTACTTCCCGAACAGCCAGGGGAGCGCTATTCGGTAGTTCGGTGCGAACGCACAAGGGGAGCAATCGCTCCTATGAACCAGGAGGATCCATTCGGGACTTTGTTCGGTTTTTACCTATTTGTGAATTGACCGACTGCACACGCTGAATTTGTGGAACTGTTTTGGGCAGGAGCCGCGTGTGTGGTCGGTAAAAGATACCCTCCACACTTTTTAAGAACCCCTGAACCGATCTGGGTGAAATTTGGATATGTTGGTCTCCCAGATCGGGGCTATCAGGGGATATGTAATTTGTGGGGGTACCTGGTGGGGAAAGGGGTGTTCTGAGTTTTGGGGAAATTGTGTGCTCTCTGCCTGGAGATAATTGGTTTATTCCTTAACTTATCTCAATATCTCCCAGGCAGAGAGAAGGCGTGTATTACTGTAAATCTGTATGTTGATTGGCTGTTGTCTTTGTTTGCTGTGGGAGGTCCTATTGCAGGAGGATTTCTCATAAAAGCCCATGTCTTGTCAATAAAATTAATTCCTGTTACACCCTTCATGAAGTCTAGGCTCATGTTTGGGGGATATTCTATTTGTTGGGAAGAATCACCTTGGAACTGCATTTCATCTACCTTATTCCTCTACTCCCTGCTGCAGCTATAATCACTTATGCTCAGCTGTTGGGAAAGGGAACAGAAGACCGCAGCACCATAACCACTGCAGGTCTTAACAAATGCTTTCCTATGGACTGATTGAATGCGCACGCGGCTCTTGACGCGCATGTGCATTCGACGGATGACGTTGGAAGGTGGAGGAGAGTCCCCAGCGCCGAGGGAGCCCGGCGCTGGAGAAAGGCAAGCATTAAACCCTTTCCTCCCCCTAGACCCTGAGGGTGGGGGGGGGGTCCAAAGACCCTACAGAGCCAGGAAAACAAGTTTGTTTTCATGGCACTATAATGGTCCTTTAAGTTACCATTTATAAATTGTCTTGGTGGTGGCAGCGTTAAAATAGTAATATTTGTATTATTATGCTTAAAGCGGCACTGTCATGGCCGAATCCCATTTTTTTTTTTTTAACCCTCCTCTACTACATCTAACTGACCCCCTAGTCATCCCCAAATGCCCCTAAGCCCCCCATATTACCTATTTTTATTCTTTATTTTCTGGCCTGATCTATATTCAGTGCGCCGCCAACTTTGTGTGGGTAGAGGAAGTCCTTGTGGGACACGTCATCTGCCCACACTAGATAGCGTTGTGAGATTCCCGCACATGCCCAGTTAAACACTTGGATATGCGAATGGGAATTTCATCTATTAATTCATTTGTCAGAAAGACAAATGAATGACTAGAAATGTCAGACAATCAAACAAACATTGAATATCAGTGTTTGTTTGTTCATTTATTTTATCACAAGGAGGGAGCTACCAACGTGCAGCTCCCTCCTTGTAATATGTAAAGATAGAAGCGTCGGGGAGCAGTGCTCCCCGCCACTTCCTAAGCCCCCCAGGTTCTCCCCCACTCTATGGGGGTCAATATGACCCCCATAATAGCATAAGGGAGATTAAAATCTCCCCAATGCCCCTACTCGCTATACCGTGAGTAGGGGCATGTCTACTAGCCTGTGGCTGCTCACTGTAAAAAAACAAAAACAAACTACTATCCTGCCCCCACTCTGATTGGTTAGATTCCAAACCCACCAATCAGAGTGTTATGAGTCAAATTACACAGCGTGGGAAAATTCCAAAGAACTTTCCCACGCTGTGTAAAATTACACAGAGCACTGATTTTGTGGCTTGAAATCCATCCAATCACAGTGCTCTGTGTCATTTTACACAGCGTGGGAAAATTCCAAAGAACTTTCCCACGCTGTATTAAATGACACAAAGCACTCTGATTGGCTTAAACCAGCCAATCAGAGTGTTTTTAGCTTAATTGCAGGCCGGGCAAGGCTTTATAAGCCTTCCCGCCTTACCCCGCCCTGCAGAGCTCAGTCTGCGCAGAGCCCTCCATGGGTGAAGATGGATTATTTTTTTTTCTTTTTCGTCAGGTTTTTTTTGCATTTGGGTTTTTTATTTTAAGTTTGACGGGTATGATGGTTTTTTATTTGGCCTTTTTTGGGGCTGAAAAATGAAGATTTTAGAAAAAAGAAGACGTCAGATGGTAAATTGGGTGGGTGACTAGGGGCTTGGGGACCCCTAGTCACCTTTGATGGGGGGGGATTTGTCTTAGTATCCCCACCCGCCGCCCAGGGGTGGAGAACAGTAGGTCCCCCCCTCATTATCTTTATGGCCCCCACCCACAGCTCAAGGGTGGGGGTCAGGGGGAGGACAGTAGGTCCCCCTCATTGTAATTTATGGCCCACACCCATCGTGCAGGGGTGGGGGCCGGTGGGTGGAGGACAGTAGGTCCCCCCCATTGTAATTTAGGGCCCCCACCCACCACGCAGGGGTGGGGACCGGTGGGCGGAGGACAGTAGGTCCCCCCCTCATTATCTTTATGGCCCCCACCCACCGCCCAGTGGCGGGGGATGGTGGGGAGGACTGTAGGTCCCCCCTCATTATCTTTATGGCCCCCACCCACCGCTCAAGGGTGGGGGTCGGGGGGGAGGACAGTAGGTCCCCCCATTGTAATTTATGGCCCCCACCCACCGCGCAGGGGTGGGGGCCGGTGGGGGGAGGACATTAGGGGCTTCTTCAGCCTTTTGGAAGATTTCTCCCTAATACCTTGGGAATTAGGGAGTTATCTACTAAGCGGCTGCAAGATGCAGCCGCGGCACAAATTGAATCGGAGTTTCATTCATTCGAATGAAATTCCGATACGAACAAAGTGCCGAATTGAGTTCTAAAAGAAACAAACATACTGTTCTCATTCAGTTAGAACACAATTCGGCAGTTTCTTCTAAAATGACAAGAAGCATCGCGAGATCACAGAGGAAAGGTAAGAATTATGGGAAAATTGCTCTGACCAGCGGAAATGAAGCACACTTTGCTCCTCCGCTGGTCAAAGCTGGCAAAGAGTCCCTACTTTGTCTTATGATTTTAAAGAAGACAGGAAGAAAAGAACAGATCCTGAGAGAGGGGGAGAAGAGAAAGATATTATATATAAGGTAAGTTCAGCATGACAGTGCCGCTTTAAGTGTGAGTGGTGTTAAGGGGGATTTTATCATTATTTCTGGTCTAATTCAGACAAATAGTGAACATTTTCACCACCACAACTACGTCACGCATACTCTTAAAGTAGAGTGCGTTCATGACACACGGCACATACAGAGTTTAGCCCCTCTTCTTTCGGAGATGGAATACCACCTACAGAAGTGTCATTGGAGCATCATTAGACAGGAACTACTGTGAATATTCCCAAAATTGCATTGACTGGCTGAGAGCAGTCAGCTAGTGCTCTCAGTCAATGAATGACTAGCAGCATTAACATCCAGCTTCTGAACCTTTGCAGAAACCAGATATCATTACTGGCCACTGGATGATGCTTGGAGTTACCCTTTAATTTAAGCCAAAATTTAGTTGCTGTTCCCTAACCATCAATCATAAAGTCTCGACTGGCCAGAAGATACAGCCAATATGATTGGAGAGACATTGTCCTTCATGGCAAACTAAGCTGCTTATTTGACCCACTAAAAAATAAACATCCCCTTTTCCACTCTGTCACCATTTTTTTTTGTCAACAGAGAGGGAACTCTTTTGCCTTGTGATTTGTCCACGTGCCGTTTTGAGGTTACAGAATTTTGATGAGTTAGCCATCATCTAAAATTTTAACCAAGCACAATTTGGATGGAACCAAATGCACAAGGAAGACAAACAGGTCTTCAGATATCCTATATATCTAGTTCCACCATAGGAGAACCATAGAACACAGGTAACAGGCAAGCTGCTAATATATTTACACATGTATGATAGATATTATTATTCCAATGCAAGAAAGACCGCTCTGTCATTTAAACGCCATTTATAAATTTATGTGTGGATGCACTAACAGAGAAAGAGATTGATAAAGATGTAAATAGATTTGGTGAGAGGGTTGAGGGGTTTATTCACACCCAGCATGCCACAACTCCAGTGCACAGAGCATTGTGTATGCAGAGAGGCGGGGCTTGCTGGGAGAGCCGTGCGTGAGCTCACGGCCTCTTATTAGTAGCACGCAGGCGGCGCTTTCCCGTCATTGTCAGCCACGCTGGGTAGGGAGCGCCGTGTGTGAGCAGTGAGGTGAGTACTAGGCCGCCGTGTACCGTTTACGGGCGTCCTTTTAGTTTCATGGTTCGGTAATGCCGAGCGGTCTCCCATTCATGTTACCGTCTGATTTCGGTTTCATTCCGGTGTGTGCTACCGCCTCCCCATTTTTATTTACTTCGTACGTTTCAGGCCTTGCAGCCTTCATTGTTCTTTGTTAACGGTATTCGCATCTGCCTTTATCTCTTTGTTAATATTTTTGTATTTGCGCTAGAAGCGTTGTTTGAATGTTTAGCGTTCTGTCGTTTCTAGCTATCTGTTATTGCCGGCGAGTTACATGTTTGGTGTGGTTTTATGTAAAGGACGGTCAGTCTATTATAAGGATTACGGTTCCTTTTTACGCTGTGAAGGTTTGGGTTCTTTCTATTGATACTCGTGTTGTGTAAGATAGTTTAGCCATTTGAATGCCAGCGGTGTTTCTAACGTGTTCAGACCTCGCACTAGGAAGGGTTTCGGCGAGCAACGAGCCAAGCCCCCTCCTCCCCCGCGCGCGCCATGTTATCGTGGTTCAGGCGGCAGGGGCTGCGTGCGCTCTCCGCCGCCATTTTGTTTCTGTGAACTAATCGAGTCACGTGTCGTTTTTTTGTTTTTTTTTCCAGACGCTCGATCCGCTAACAAAAAATAAATAAAACGTCCGTCGTAGCAGAACAAAATGTCCGGCTCTGAAGGTGGTGATGGCTACGTTGTCAAGATCCGCGGCCTACCGTGGTCCTGTTCTCAGGGAGAGATCGAGAACTTTTTTACTGGTGAGTGTTAAATGTTAACCCCTTAGTGACCAGACCGTTTTTCAGTTTTCTTACCCCATGGCTATTTTTACATTTCGGAGGTGTTTTTACATTTTATTACTCATTTACTGTACCCACACATATTCCGTTTTTCTTGCTCTAAAGACACCATTATTTTCATTTATTTATATATATATATATATTTTTTTTTTATTTATTTATTTTTAAAAACGTTTTCTGACACCCAAAATCTGTTACCAATCTACTACTGCCAAAAATGACCCATGCTAAATAGTTTCTACATTTTGCCCTGAGTTTAGAAATACCTAAAGTTGCCATGTTCTTGGCTTTTTGTTTTGCATGTTATAGGGCAGTACTGGTAGGACATTACTGTTTCAAAAAATATATTTTTAAAATTCATCAATAGTGACATTGTAACACTGTTATCATAAAGCGGATACCCCATACTGAATAACCTGGACCATGTCCAGTCTTTTTTAGTAGCCACTTAGTCACAAACACTGACCAAAGTTAGCATATATATTTGTGTTAAAAATGCAAACAAAATTATGAATGCTAACTTTGGCTAGTTTGTGTCACTAAGTGGCTACTAAAAAGACTGATCATACTCATTTGCAATACCTCGGGTTGTCTTTTTTTCCAAATGGTATGTCATCATGGGGGTAATTCTCATTCCTGCGCTATCATACCCTCTCAAAGGCAACATAACTAATCTGGCAAATTTCAATGTGAAAAAACTGAAAACCAAGCATTACATTTGACCCTGTAACTTTCAAAAACACTAAAAAATAAAAAAAAACCTGTACGTGGGGGGCTACTGTTGTACTCAGGAGACTTTGCTGAACACATATTAGTGTTTCACAACGTCATCAGTGAAAGTACTGTTTTGTGAAATGCTGTGATATGTTTTACTGTTTTGAAACGCTAATATTTGTGTTCAGTGGAGTCTACAGAGTAAAACAGTACCCCCCCCTCCCGCCCAACGTACATGTTTTAGGATGTCTTGGAAAGTTACAGGGTTAAATGTAGTGCTAGCAAACTAAATTCTCTGGACTTTCAGCCTGGGTTATCGGGCAGGTCCCCCAAATTGCAATTCATAAAATTGCTTAATTATGTAAAAATATGTTTATGTAATTATGTATATCTTGTATTTTTAATTTATGTATACATATATTTCATTCTAATTTTATTTTGATATATTATCAAAATATAGTTATAATAAAATTACATAACTTTTATTTATTTATTTTACAATATGTAGTTATATTATACATGTGTATTTTTATATTTATAACTTTAAAAAAATACACTTGGCATGACATAAGATATAGATATATAACTTTTTTTTTTTTTTTTTTAATTTATGAACTTTTTTAAAAACCAATTAACCAGCAGGGGGTCTCCCTGTACAGGCAGTCCCCCGACAGACAGCACTATGGACACCTATTGGGACCATGTGACTGCTTTTTCAGAGCGATCATGTGGCCTGTGGGGTCCTAATTAGAAGAGGGGGACTGTCAGACTGTCGTTCTCTCATTCCTCCCCAAACGGAGAGAAACAGATTGCCATTGGTGGAATGGCGGTGATCAGGTAAGTGCATAGGAATACCGCATACTAGGTACATGAGGGGGGTTTTTAATAAATATATATATATATATATATATTATATTAAAAAATTATTATTTTTTTAATCAGTAAGTGCGTCAAGGCACACAGGCAGAGCATTGGAAGCCTGCACGATGGCTTCCGGTGCTCTGCTACACTGCTGGGTGCCACGTGGGGCAACCCAGAAGTGATCAAATTTGCCACGGGCGTATCAGGTACGTCCGAGCTAGTAAACAGTTTTTTCTTTTTTGTCAAAAAGAGGTTAAAATATCAGTTACCTGCTGAGAGCACTTTTTCGGTAAATGTTATATAACTTATCAAATCTATTTTTCCCTCTAGAGTCCAAAATATTAAATGGCTCTCTTGGGGTTCATTTCATCTACACAAGAGAGGGTCGGCCTAGCGGTGAGGCTTTTGTAGAATTTGAAACGGAGGATGATCTAAAACTGGCTTTGAAGAAAGACCGAGAGACCATGGGGCACAGATATGTGGAAGGTAAATATTAAATGCTTGTACTACTTATTACTGATGCCCTAAATTGTGCATCTACAATACTTTGGTTTTTGCTTTTGCAGTATTTAAATCAAACAATGTTGAAATGGATTGGGTTCTGAAGCACACCGGCCCCAACAGCCCTGATACAGCCAATGATGGCTTTGTTCGACTTAGAGGCCTTCCATTTGGATGTAGCAAGGAAGAAATTGTACAGTTCTTCTCAGGTATGTTGCACAATAAAGTACAACTCTGTTTTGAAATTTACCAAATATTGTATTTGGCCACAGTGATTTAGAACGTGTTTTGTATGTCCCTTTACTTTATCATGCATATGTTTTTTTTCAAACTAAAGTGCTTCTAAATGTCTCTTGTGTGATTTGTACTCTTCCTTCTTATATTGTAGTTAGGTTTTCTATAACTTGGACTATCCACAGTCTTGCCACATCTGCTCTTTAACAGATTGGCCTCTGACATAAGAAGGCAAGCTCCCAAACACCATAGCAATCTAAGTTGCGGTGCAAAGAGGTTTTATGTACATATAACTCGCTCAATTTTTTTTTTATTTATTTATTCTTAATTATATAGAAGTTGGTGTTTATTGGTAGATCTACAATATCACCCTTAGGTGTACAAATATTTATACTTTGTGGCTTTCCGTGAGTTTGCATTCCATCTGTGAGTAGCCTAGTTCATACAATGTAGAGTGCAACTTTTCAGCAAGGTAACTTATGATTTTGTTTTGGCAATTGCCACATGCAGCAATTTTTCACTCGTGTATTAACTCCTAAGGACACATGATGAAAATATTCCGCCATGATTCCCTTTTATTCCAGAAGTTGTCCTTAAGGGGTTAAATTGATTGCATGCTACTTTTTTTTTTTTTTTTTTCTGTTGGGAACCATAGATAATGGAAGAATGTTGACAGGCTAATGCCCCAATTGTATCCTGGTCTGAGAACTTTAATTTGCAGGACGCAAGCTCTAAATATAAAAACTTTTTTAGTTGGCTATTGTGCATAATGACACACGTTGCAAGATCAAAGCCTAGAAATGAGTCATAGGATATATTCAGGGTGCTAATTTATAATCTTTGAGCATACTGTTTGATCACAGTCATTTACACTTGTGTGCAGACCCAGACATCAGAATGTCTGGTGAGGGTATATCAACTATCTCTTCAGCAGACATAGTAAATGTTTGTAACCGTAAGTTAATATTGACATTTTTGTAAGAACACTAATGATTAAAATGAGGTTAAATATATTATATTTAAAATATGTTAATGAATAAGGATTTTTCTACCTAACTTTTATTTTAGTTTTTCCTCCTTGAAATCTTATCTTTCCCTTCTTTGTGCACTTTGACTTCAAATCTTTACAGTTAACGGCAGTTTTCCCCCCCAAGGTTTTGTAATCTTAAATGGGACCTATCACTTCCCAGAATTTACCAAACTCCTTATTTAATGGTAATTTTAAGCCTGGAAACAAAAATTAGAAACCCACAACTTTTTTTTCTTTTCCAATCTTGCAACTGGGCTTATCTCTTGGCTTGAGAGTAGTTTTTTATTTTATTTATTTAATACTCACTGCTGTAATTCCAAACAAATGGTAGTTGCCCTTTAAATCTGTAACTTAATCTCTTAAAATAGCTGAACAGCTTACATTAAATATGCTAGTGTCTGTAATCCTCTCAACCTCTTTTGAGTAATGCTATTTAGGCCTATTTTTTCCCCCAAACTTGATGAATGAGTGGCATGGAACATAACCCAACGTAATGCAAAATTTATTTATTTTTTTAAATTTTTTTTTTTTTGCCTGTGAACCTTTAAATCTTTAATATAGCATGCATGATGCTGAAGGGGATGCATATTCCTGTATTAATTGTTGGTGACAACTGTGAGAATTGACACAACTCTTAAGGCAGAAGCCCTTACGTTTTTTACCTAAATGCGTTCTAGTACTTAATCACGTATTGAAAGGGACTCTCCAGTGTCAGGAAAACATGTTTTCCTGGCAGTGCCCTTCCACCCCATTCCATGTTGCTGAAGGGGTTAAAACCCCTTCAGCGACTTACTTGAATCTAGCGCCAATGTGTTTCTGCGCAGGGTCATGCTCCGCCCACGCTTCTCCCCCTGCTAATGTCAGCCAGGGGGGCCTAATGCGTGACAATGGCTGTGCGCATTAGACCTCCCCATAGGAAATGCATTATTCAGTGCTTTCCTATGGGGATTTAGGCGACACTCAAGGTCCTCGTGAACAGCATGAGGATGTCCAGCGTTGTTTAACACACTTTTTTTTTTTTAAGAGGATAACTTAACCCTGCAGGTTAATTTTTGCGGTTTATAAAAACTGCAATAATTACACTTGCAGGGTGGTGGTGGGAGTTGGCACCCAGACCACTCCAATCGGCAGAAGTGGTCTGTGTGCCTGGAGTGTCCCCTTAAGTTTTACAAGGTTGCCCTTCAAATTAGATACCGAATACATGCAAATTCACTAGCTAATGCAAGCGTTGATTTACATTGGAAGTGAAACTGTGAACTTGCAAAAAAGTCAACTTAATGCTTGATCATAATACAGTGATCCCTGACTTGCCTTATCGTTTTGGTCTTTTTTTTTTTTTAAATGTATTGGTCAGTGCAATCAATAAGAGTATTTCACAAAGATTGTCTTTATGAATTACCCTTTTTTTGTGATGGTGATAGAGCAAGTTTCTGTATGTAAAGCTATATCCACAATTATGAGCTTATCTAAATCTTCCCAAACATTAATGAAAATGGTAAAAATGTATTCACTTAAACTTAAAAGAATCCTATAGTCCTGAGAATTTTTTTTTTTTTTTTTCTGTTCCCTTTTTATTCTCGCCTTACTCCCCACCTTTTGGTAATGTGAAATTTAATGTTTAATATATTTACTTTAGTTTAAGCACGGAGACCCCTCGACTGCAGCCTTCAGCTTTGTACTTCAGAATGCCTGCTGACTTCTTCCTCTTATTGTCCAATCCAATATTTCTTATAGAAAACCGTTGGGGCCGAAATATGCATACGTACTAAAATGCTGCACTCCTTGAGTAGCATTGATGGAAGAACAGTGACTTTATTCTAGAGACTGTAGTGCCTCTAGTTGTTTTTAAAAGACGCTGTAGTTGTATTTAATCCTTCACTGTAAACATCGTGTTTTATACAAAACTGTTTTATATTGAAAGGTTAAATCGACAGGTCCTCTACACCGAGGCCACTTCATTGAGAGAGTGGTTTTGGTGCATTTAGTGATATTCTTTATTCTGTAGGTGTCAACATAAATCACATCATGTTAAACTCTAATTGTATTTCCTGAATGTGGATGGCTTTGCTAATTTTTATGCAGTGGTACCTTTCCCATTGGCTGACAAGTTCACTATATTTGCATATACTTCCCAAATTAAACAAACTAGCAACAAGTTTGGTAGGAAAGACTTCTGGGGATTGGAATATTGAGTGGCCACAAACTTCAACTGTAGGATAGCAAACCATCATGCATTCCTGATATTGCAGCCTACGAGTATCAATTGTTAGATTTTTTTTTTTTTCTGAATCCTCAGTTTGTTTTGTGTATTAAACAGTGGTTAAAGTAATCTCTTGGTGCTAACACATTTTTTGTATAGACCAAGTCTACTGCTTGAATGGAAGTTTGAAAGGTTTCTCTACACTATGGGATAGTATCCCTCCTATAAACTTTCGGTGTCTACTTTCAAATGTGCTTCTAGTGATGTTCATATTCGGCTTACTTAAAGAGGAACAGTCATTTGTCCAATTCTTTATGATTTATTCAACTTTGTAAACACTAGTGAAAGAATTTCACAATAGAGGTAAGTAAAAAGCCACTTACCACCTCTGCTTGATCTAGTTTAGATGCTGCCTTCTTGAGGATTAAGGCTTTTATGGTTTGGTCACACTGCACTTTTGACTCCGTTATGATCCTTGCTGTGCTTGCTAGCTAGATTCTTTGTTATCGACTTTGTATAATGTGCACGCTTATCAACTCAATTTAGTGTTTTTTCCCTTTGGAGAAGCATGGGTTGGCATCAGATGCTTTTCTGTGCCCTTACAGAGTTGCAACTAAGTCTAAACCTTTTTTATTTTTGATACTGCATATTTATGATCTTTTACAACACAAGATGACTGTTCCTCTTTAAGGATCCCTCCCAAGATTTTACTTTTGTGTGTTTTTTGTTTTTTTCCTTCAATCATGTTACATATGACTTTTTTTTATTTTATTTTTTTTTTATTTTGACTTTTGATAATGGATTTGAACTTGTTAACATCTACTACCCTAAATTTTCTGGTTTATTTAAAATGATTGTTTGGGATTGTGATTTTTAATCTTAACCCCCCACTGGGGTTATTTGTCCTTGGGTTGAAGGGTTGGAAATCGTGCCAAATGGGATAACATTGCCGGTGGACTTCCAGGGGAGGAGTACGGGGGAGGCCTTCGTGCAGTTTGCTTCACAGGAAATAGCTGAAAAGGCTCTAAAGAAACACAAGGAGAGAATAGGGCACAGGTGGGGCTGGATGGTTGGTTGGTTGTCACTTTTCTTATGGTATTGTTAAAGACTTTTTTTTTTTTTTAAAAAAAACTTTTCTCTTTTTTTTATTATGCAAACATTTAATGTGAAATACTCAGCTGGCATATCTTAGGTCCGATAAATGGAAATACTGGCTTAACATATTGTGTTTAAAAATAGAATAGTGTTACCATAAGAAAATGTGATACTTGCTAAACTGTTTCATTTATTCAATTCAACATCTATGGTAATGCATAGGTATAAGTCCTAAATGTTTAAATGTCACAATGGGTTTCTTGTTCATATGTACCAGTGACTTAATTTATTCATATACACGTTGGCTTAAACGTTCAATTTAAATACTGTATATCTTGCTGGTATGTTTTGTGATGGATTACACTTAGACTGACTGTACAACCCCCATTGGTCGGTGTATAAATTAACATCCCCCATTTCATGTTTAGTTCAACTTATTTGCAAAAGGTTTCCAAATTAAACTTTTTCTATCACAAAACTAGTTTCACTTTTTCATTTTAATTAAGGCACTTAACTGGATAAGTCCGCTTTGCCGTATGTTCATTTTATCCTTTAATGCTACAGGTACATAGAAATTTTTAAGAGCAGTCGAGCAGAAGTTCGTACACACTATGACCCTCCCAGGAAACTTTTTGGCATGCAACGTCCAGGCCCCTATGACAGACCTGGTGCAGGAAGAGGGTATAATAACCTAGGCAGAGGATTTGACCGAATGCGACGAGGAGCCTATGGAGGAGGTAATGCCTTTTCATTGATTTATGCAAAGAATGTGCTTGTCTATAGTTTTGTGTATTTAACAAACCCCAGATGTATACGTGCTTGGTACACTGCAATAGCATGCAGTACTTTTGAGCTATATAGAAAAGACAAGTTCAGCTTTGGATAAATAGCCCATCAGTTGTCCAAGTGGGACCAATAGCCCAGATTACACATGGAGGTAACACTTGAAAGGAAGTGATGTAACTTCCTTTACTCATCCTACTGCTAAGTGGTAAACAAAAGGGTAGGTGGCTAAAATAACATACATGTCAATATTGATCAGCATTCTCCCCCTTTTATTTAAAAAAAAATAGCACCGTTACTCTAAGGCACTAGAAAGTTTGTTTTAGCACAGTTCTCCTTAAAGGAACACTATAGTCACCTATAGACCGTATCTTCAGAAGGATATTGATACCTTAGAGAGGGTTCAGAGAAGGGCTACTAAACTGGTTCATGGATTGCGGGATAAAACTTACCAGGAAAGGTTAAAGGATCTTAACATGTATAGGTTGGAGGAAAGCAAAGACAAGAGGGGATATGATAGAAACATTTAAATATATAAAGGGAATCAACACCGTAAAGGAGGAGACTATATTTAAAAGAAGAAAAACTACCACAACAAGAGGACATAGTCTTAAATTAGAGGGACAAAGGTTTAAAAATATATCAGGAAGTATTACTTTACTGAGAGGGTAGTGGATGCATGGAATAGCCTTCCAGCTGAAGTGGTAGAGGTTAACACAGTAAAGGAGTTTAAGCATGCATGGGATAGGCATAAGGCTATCCTATCTATAAGATAAGGCTAGGGACTAATGAAAGTTTTTAGAAAATTGGGCAGACTAGATGGGCCGAATGGTTCTTATCTGCCGTCACATTCTATGTTTCTAAATTAAGCTAACTAAAGCAGTTTTAGTGTATAGATCATTCCCCTGCAAATTTACTGTCATTTAAGAGTTAATTCACTTTTTCTGTTTATGCAGACCTAGCCACACCTCCTCTGGCTATGATTGACAAAGCCTGCATGAAAAAGAAAACTGGTTTCACTTTCAAACAGATGTAATTTACCTTAAATAATTGTATCTCAATCTCTAAATTGAACTTTAATCACATACAGGAGGCTCTTGCAGGGTCTAGGAAGCTATTAACATAGGGGATAATAGAATCTTAATTAAACAACTTGCAATAAAAGCCTAAATAGGGCTCTCTTTACAGGAAGTGTTTATGGAAGGCTGTGCAAGTCACATGCAGGGAGGTGTGACTAGGGTTCATAAACAAAGGGATTTAACTCCTAAATGGCAAAAGATTGAGCAGTGAGGCTGCAGGGGCATGTTCTATACACCAAAACTGCTTCATTAAGCTAAAGTTGTTCAGGTGACTATAGTGTCCCTTTAAAGGTTGTCTTCAATTGGACAATATTTATATGATGTAGTTACATATGCCTGTTATATAATTTTTTTTTTTATTTTTTTTTTTCCTGAAATGATGTTCCAGATTGTACATTTAAAGTCAGGCTGCCTCATGTAATATCAAATACTTTGTCTCAAACTGTAATCTAGCATTTATTGGCTGACAATTAACCGCAACTTTGCAACTTAGGATACGGTGGATATGATGAATACAATGGCTACAGTGAATATGCTTTTGGCACAGACCAGAGATTTGGCAGAGGTATGTAATCTAAAGGGTTAGAATATCTGGAGCCCTTTTTTTTTCTTTTCTTTTTTTTTTCTTCCACTTTTTCTCTCCATACCCCCTTACACCCTATAATCCCTTTTCTTCCTCTTATGGCAGCAGATCATAGATACGGTGATGGAACAAGCTTCCAGAGTACAACTGGTCATTGTGTACACATGAGAGGTCTTCCCTACAGAGCAACAGAAACAGATATTTATACTGTAAGTAGAAATAAATTTTTTTTTTTTTTTTGGTTTATTTTTATATAGAAATTTTTTTTTAACTTTTTTTTTTATTTATTTATTTTTCTTAGTTTTTCTCTCCATTGAATCCTGTGAGAGTTCATATTGAAATTGGTGCTGATGGAAGAGTTACTGGGGAAGCAGATGTTGAATTTGCAACCCATGAGGATGCTGTAGCAGCAATGTCAAAAGACAAGGCAAATATGCGTAAGTAGTTAGCAATAATGATTTAAAGTGGGTTCTTGGCAATATTTTCCTTCTGTTGCATGTTCCTCCTTTCTCCTGGCAGCTTCATCTGCCAGCAATCAAAAGTATACAGTCATTGTAGAGTACAAAGCATATCTGTAGTTTTCACGCACGTGACCACTGAGATGCCTTAGCATCTGTATGCCACAGGCAAATAACCATATCAGCCATAATTTATGGAAAATATGGCAATGAAAGTTATTGGAGTAGCACTTGCATGATTTGGGAATAAGTTTATGAAAGTCTACTATGACAGTTTACAGCATGAAAAGCTCAATATGAAGAGAAATGTGCCGCCAAAGGCGTACAAAAACTCGACTCGAATGAGTTGCTTCACATTGGAGTTTTTACCTTATTTAGAACTAGAGCAAAATGGTGTCTGAGGTTTTCTTCCTCGATTACTATAGAGCTGACAGGACTGCTTTAAAAATTATCTTCATGTAGAATTGTTGTAATGTGCCCATTTCAACACTTTTGTCAACTTAGTGCTGATTTAAGCAAATTGTTTTCTTTTCTTCTTAAAAATGCACAGGGAATTTGTCTAAAGAATCTTGAGCTTGTTGGCGTGACAAAATACCTCGGCTGTGGGAAACTGTACACTAAGTTTCAGTTTAAAGTGGCACTGTCAAGCCGAACTTACCTTTCCTCAATCTCTTCCTCTTCTCCCCCTCTCTCAGGATCTGTTATTCTTTTCTTCCTGTCTTTAGTTTTCTTTAAAATCATAAGACAAAGTAGGGACTCTTTGCCTTATGGAGGATTCCTCCGCCTGACCAGCGGAGGAGCAAAGTGTGCTTCATTTCCGCTGGTCAGAGCAATTTTCCCATGATTCTCACCTTCCCTCTGTGTTCTTACGATGCTTCCTGTCATTTTAGACGAAACTGCCGAATTGCATTCTAACTGAACGAGAACAGTATGTTTCTTTTAGAACGCAATTCGGCACTTTATTCGGATCGGAATTTCATTCGAATGAAACTCCGATCCTATTCTTGCTGTGGCTGCATCTTGCAGCTGCTTAGTAGATAACTCCCTAATTCCCACTGTATCAGGGAGCTATCTACTAAAAGGCTGAAAGACCTAAATTGGTCTTTCAGCCTGTGGCTGCTCACTGTAAAAAAACAAACAAACATTGGTCCCCACCCTAAAACGACGGGTGGGGGCCCTAAAGTAAAATAAGGGGGGAGACCTAATGTCGTCGCCCCCACCCCTGGGCGGCGGGTGGGGGCCATAAAGATAATGGGGGGGGGGCGGCTAGAAAAAAACATTGTCTCCCCCCTTATCTTACTTTAGGGCCCCCACCCGTCGTTTAGGGGTGGGGGCCAATAGTTTTTTTTTATTTGTTTTACTGTGAGCAGCCACAGGCTGCTCACTGTTTAGTGGACATGCCCCTATTCGATGTATAGCGAGTAGGGGCATGTGGGAGATTTTAATCTCCCTTGTGCTATTATGGGTGTCATATTGACCCCCATAGAGTGAGGGGGTACTGGGGGGCTTATGAAGTGGTGGGGAGCACTGCTCCCTGCCCCTTTTATCTTTACATATTACAAGGAGGGAGCTGCGTGCCGGTTGCTCCCTCCTTGTAATAAACTGCACGAACACTAATAGTGTTTGGCTGACATTTCTATTCGTTCATTAGTCTGTCTGATGGATGAATGAATAGATGACATTCTCGTTTGCATGTGCGGGAATCTCAGTGTCTAGTGTGGGCGGCTGATGACGTGTCCCACAGGGACTTCCTCTTCCCGCACAAAGATGGCGGCGCCCTGAATATAGATTGGGGCAGAAAATAAGGAATACAAAATAGGTAATTTGGGGGTGACTAGGGTGTGTTCGATGTAGTGGAGGCCGGAGGGGGGTTAAAAAAAAAACAGGATTCGGCATGACAGTGCCGCTTTAAGACTTTAACTACAGAAAGCAATTTTCATGCTTCTAAGTAGAAAAATATTAATGTTTGCTTCTTTCAAAAGCTTGAAGAAAGACTTGTCTTTAAGTGGTACTGTCTCTGCATCCAAAAATTGAACACTTCTCAACGATAAAGTATTTATGAATTACTCACCTTTACTGTTAAAATTTCATTAAAATTCCAGTGCAGTCACACAAAGTAGGGACTACTTTGTCTTGTTTTTCTGCCACTTGTCAAGATGGCTACCATTGAGTTCTTTAATTTCCACCAGCTGTCAATAGTGATGGGTGCAGGTAATGGGTTGTGTCTATGGAGAATCCAGCTGGATGTTTTTACATAGACCTCAGACCATAAAGGACAGGTTAAGAAAAGTATAACTCTCCTTCCCCCTGCACTAGCAACTGGTAAATTTTCAAGTGATGAGTCAAAATGCTAGAAAAAAGTTAACCCATGACTGAAAATATGCACACAATCTTATTCTCTCTTTTTCAGAGCACAGATACGTGGAACTCTTTCTCAATTCTACAGCAGGAGGTTCTAGCAGTGCATATAGTAGCCAGATGATAGGTGGACTTGGTATGTATTGTACTGCATCTTAAGAAATTGCATAAAACAGTGCCTGTTTTTCTGATATGGCTCTAATTTTGTATTCTTTATAAAGTCAGACTTGTGTCTTGGCTAGAGATGTTGCTTTATGTAAATGTCAGTGGATGACAGTTTCCATGTTCTTTAATCCCTGCAATGTAAAACATTGCTGTTAAACTTTTGTGGCGCAGAGTAAAACGGTCACTTGGCATATATTAGGTCCCCAATGTTCCCCTATAACAGGCTTCCCCAAACTCTGGCCCTCTAGATGTTTCTGAACTAAAACTCCCATTATTCTATGAATGAAATAGATGGGCAGAGAATCATGGGAGTTGTAGTTCAGCAACATCTGGAGGGCCAGAGTTTGGGGAAGCCTGCTGTATAAGGAGCATGTATTTGGACACTGCAGGAGGAGGCCCTGCCTCCTTTGTGATGGCACCTGTGTAGGAGAGCTCAGTACTCAAAATAAGGCAAGTAAAGAGTTTTAAGTACGAGACAGGAACACTAACATTGGGAATACAGATTTGTATTCCTAATGTTGGTGTTAATTTAAACCAAGAAATGAGATGTAGACTTACTGTATGAATTCAATGCAATATAAAGTGTGTTTTCTCTTCATGTGTTCAGTAGTAAGACAGTTTTCCTGTAATTGAATAAGAAGCTGTTTGCAGACTCATTACCAATTATTTACCAACATCTTGAAGTCTAACTGAAGGGAGTCATTTTTCTAGGCTGAACGTTTAGAATGCCCTGCTTATAGATCTTAAGACAGAAATTATATTAAGAGATTTAATATGCGTAAGGCACCTTTTGTTTAGATTAGGTAAAAAGTGGCATTTTGGCTGCATCTGATCTAAAAGCAATCTTTAGGTTTTGCAAGTCAAATGTCATCCCTAGAATAATTTGTGGACTCCTATGTCTAATTTTTCTTCCCTTAATTTTAGCACCTGGTACTCAGACAAGTTATGGAAGCCCTGGCACACAAGCTTTGAGCGGTAGTTATGGAGCAGGATATGGAAGTCAAGCCAGTTTAAGTGGCTACGGTAAGAATGTGACTTGGCTTTTATGCAGCTCTGAGAAACCATTAAATGCCAGTTGTATTAAACCTATTTTAGTTGTTTGGCTCTTATCTTTTCTGTAAAGTATGTTGGCAAGGGTGTTTTTATTTGTTTTATTTTTATTTTTTATAAAAGCACTTCAACCGCAATAATCACTATAACTTGCAAGTATGTCTTTCTCTTTAGGAAGTCAGAGTGGATTAAACAGCAGCTATTATAGCAGTGGAACGCGAGGCTCATTGGGAGTAAACGGGATGGCTGGAATGTCGAGCAGTATGAGCATGAGTGGTGCCTGGGGAATGTAAAATATTTTTATTGTTTTTGAATCCATGCTTTTAACTTTCATTTTTTGTAAGACAAAACTGAGCTGTTTTTTGCGTTAACTTGTAATTTATGCTTACTGTGAGATGGTATTTTTTAAAAAAGTTCATACTTCAGTGTTCAGATACCTTAGAAATTATCTGAAGGTGTGTAGCTAAAGCAGAGCAGCTCAAGTTGTTGTGTTTTGTTTTTTTTTATTTTATTTTTGTAGAAGTATACAAACGAAGTATTGGCAAGTCTATCATTTTGTTGTATCACATACTGTAAATTGTTCTAAAGGTGTGTTGAGACATGCCTCTTTGTAACATATTGCCCTATTTTCATTTTGAATTCTGTAATTTTTTTAATTTTTTTTTTTTTTTATATAGATAGTTTTGAGCTTGAAATATAACTTAGTCTTGGCATTTGTCATTCTAAGACTTTTTTGTAATTTCTTTAGATGTTGCTCAATGTTCTTCATTCAATAAATCTCTAAAACACAATCTTGTTCTGATTTATTGCTATGCACCTCTAAGGCCTTCTGGTTAACAAATATTTAAAAGGATACTTAAGTCCTCAAAACCACTTCAGCTTAATGAACCATATTGGCTGAATAGATCATGCCTGCAGTCTCACTGCTCAATTCGCTGCCATTTAGGGGTTAAATAACTTTTTTTCTCTCTATGTAGCAGTAGCCAAATCTTCCCTGGCTGTGAGTCTCACAGCCTGAATGAGAAAAAAAGGATTTGTTTTTTTGTTTTGTTTTTTTTCAATCAGATGTTAACTGAATTTAGACAGTTTAATATCCTGCACTGTAAATTGCTTTAATTACATACAGGATGCCCCAGCAGCAACTAGAATATATACAGCGAATTGTATCCGAAATTCTAATTTAAGCAAAATGTGCAATTAAAGGGATTTTAAACATTACATCTCATTTTACAGGACGTGCTTAGGTAGGCTGTGCAAGTCATATGTAGGGAGGTGCGACTATGGCTGTTTAGTGATTTAACTCCTAAATGGCATATAATCTAGCAGTAAGACTGCATGGGACATATCTATAAACCAAAACCACTTCATTAACCTAAACTGAATTTCTGAGAATCAGTCTTGCCATCTCCCAGTAAGGAGCAATTTCCAATCAATCCCACCATATATGCCACATCGTGCCTCTGTCAGCCTGGCATCTCTAGCAGATGGGCAGCACACTAGGAAAGAACCCGTGGAGGAGGGTCCGGGTCCTGTACCCTAGTGATATTAGTTTGTTTCCTGATACTGTGAGCCTTTAGAGCTCTTATGTTGCCACAACATTGTCCCACTGTGTAACCAAAAAAGATTTACCTATTAGTTCCTCCCACTGTCTTTGGAAAGTGTTGTTCACAGAACCATTCCAAACCAGAAGATGTTGATAAATTTCCAAAACTGGTCTTCTCAATCGCTGAGATCTTCAAACCACGTGAGGCTCCTATTCAGTTTATCCCTCTGCAGTAATGTACGGAAATAGTGTTGCAGGTGAACATCAGGGAGAAATCAAGGACGTTCGTGGTCCACCTCAATAATACATCTAGTGCAAGAAGCTGTCCATCCTGTAATGGCCTTTAAGAAACGAAGTGTGGCAAAACAGCAGGCCCAGGACACAGAAGGATACAGGTTCTTATCCCCTGTTGGGCACTTATGGAGTGAACTTGTCTGGATGTCACAGTGAGAACTGTGACGGGACCCCACTTTAAGAATGCCTTCTGGGCGTGAACAGGCTCTTTATGATTGCAATACTCATCGGTTTCCTTAGTCCCCAGTGTGGCGTCGCTTATCAGCTTCTGGTACAGCTGGAGATCAGTCAAGGAGTTGACAGTACTGGAGACCGTATCTTCAGAAGGATATTGATACCTTAGAGTTCAGAGAAGGGCTAATAAACTGGTTCATGAATTGCAGGATAAAACTTACCAGGAAAGGTTAGAAAATCTTAACATGTATAGCTTGGAGGAAAGCAAAGACAAGAGGGGATATGATAGAAACATTTAAATACATAAAGGGACTCAACACAGTAAAGGAGGAGACTATATTTAAAAGGAAAAACTACCACAACAAGAGGACAGTCTTAAATTAGAGGGGCAAAGGTTTAAAAATATCAGGAAGTATTACTTTACTGAGAGGGTAGTGGATGCATGGAATAGTCTTCCAGCTGAAGTAGTAGAGGTTAACATATGAGGAAATTTAAGCATGCGTGGGATAGGCATATGGCTATCCTAGACTTAAGATAAGGGCAGGGACTAATAAAAAGTATTTAGACATATTGGGCAGACTAGATGAACCGAATGGTTCTTATCTGCCATCACATTCTATGTTCACACTGAAGTAAATATAAAAAATAAAATATACTGTACACTGTGTGAATAAAATAAACTCAATCCAAAGGAAAAGGTGATCTATTCTTCACCAAGGAAAGTGATGTCCAAAATCACGAATGTCCAAGAGTAATAAATATACATAAAATTTATTAAAGAAATACTGGTAAAAAAAAAAAAAACGCGTTTCACCAGGTAGACAGGTTTTTAGAACCTTCATTATAGATATAGCAGAGTACATTTTGAGTATTTGCATTAGTTGTGTCTATGGCTGCAATGTGAGGGTAGTATGATATGAGCAATACAAAGGTAACGTGGCAACATACATATAAAATAAATGGGACAACACATATGAAGAACGTATAGGATAATATATATTGATTATAGAATGTGGGGAAAATGTCAATGACACTGTTTTTGTGATTTTATTATTTGGGGAAATTATTTTGTCCAACCAAAATGTAATTTTTGTTTCCATAATCCTTGATGCTCACAGCCTATTAGTTAAACTACTGAGGTACAAAACACACAGACTGCTGCTACATTGGTGATTAGCAAACCTTGCGTGGTGCATGAATATTCGATCCACCATGATAGAATAGAAAGGAAGTAGACATTTTATATTTGGTCTCAACATTGCTGCCCATTATTTATATTCACAGATTCAAATGGTTGGTTGCATTTTTTTTTTTTAGTGGTTATGAGATGGGGTGCATCTGCATTTAAAGATGTACTAATTTGATCGCAGTTTTAGTGATGTTATTTTCAATAATCTATTAAATTGACTCAGCAACTGCATGATGTTTGTTTCATTAATCTATTTATTTCTGGACACCCATTGATAGAAATAGAAAGTACTATTCCTTGCAATAGTTGACCTGCGTTTGAAAAAAACAGAGGTGCCAGTACCCAAACATCAGGGCTAAACCATTGCAAAGTGGTTTAGCTTATGGAATGAAGAGAGTGCATAATTCGCAGAGAACAAAATGGCAATGCACAGATTTTGAGATCCAAGAACAAAATATAATTATATGCTATAATAACATTATATATGTTATAAGCCCGATCCTTTCCCCTACCATTTAAACATCACTTCTTCATAATACTTGACTCTACTTTTCCCCTTAAAACATCCCTCCCTACATCACATATTGCCTCTAGATGTAACTTGTCCCATTCATACCTCTTGCCTTCCTAGCTATTACCACTTTTCTTACCCAACATGCCACCTAAAGTGTTCTCTTCCTGCTCTAGTTGGGACACTGCTTCTCATTGGTTTTGTGTCCAGTATGGAGACGCTGTGCTGTGTTATGATACTGATGTCTTGTTGGCCAAGGGTGGGTGGATCGCATCATTAGACTCATGTCCTTGGGTTCATATGACCTGGATGGTGCATGATATCACAGCCACACTTTCTGCTAAATCTCTGAATAGTCCATACGAACTTTGTGTTTCTCATGCTCTGATATTAGAACAATAATACTCAGCATTAGTATATACCCACTCAGGGGTACAATTAATCTTCATATCATTAATTTAATATTATCTCTATAACTACCCCAATGCTAGGGTATGGGGCACTCACAGATAGTTTCCAGATCTTCAATGGCACATGACCGGGCTGTCCTCTCTGACCCTTACTTTTTGCCATATCTCTCGAACCCTTCCTCCTTGTGTTTCGTCAAAATCGGAAGACATTACCAGCAAGACTTTAGAGCATAAGGTGGCAGCTTATGCGGATGACCTACTCTTCTTTATTACCAACCTACAGATTACTTTGCCTTGCCTGATGATGGAGTTTGATACCTTTCAGGCCTCAAATTGAACCTCTTGAAATCTAAAGTCCTCAATATCACCATCCCGGCAGAGGATTACGATACTTTGAGACCCAATTTTCCCTTCCGCTGGTGCAGGGAAAAGGTGAAGTATTTATGTACTTGGATGATGGCTGACTCCGATCTCTACCGTGCTAACTTCACGCCCTTACTACAGAACATCTTAGAAAGAACTTAAGTGGTGGTCATACCCGCATCTATCCTGGTCTGGACGGTCCTCAAGATAAATGTCTTGCCACGGCTGCTCTACCTTTTCCAGACAGTGCAACTTTCATTACCGAGAGCGTTCTTCTCTTCGCTGAAGACAGCGGTAATCCGCTATGTGTGGAGAGGCGAGAGATCCCACACCCAACATTAATTGTTTTGCCTGCCCAGGCAGTGGGCCCTGCCAGACTTTAAGAAATATAATCAGGCCGCTACACTGCAGTGTATCTACGGCTGGCATCACTCACACCAGCAGTGGCCCTTTCTGGATTGGGAGGGACTTGATGTACAACTTCATGCAGCTGTGTGGCTAGGACAGTTAGATATATAATAAAGTGTATCCAAAAGGGGAATTAGTCAGTTGGTTACTAATTGACAATAATATTAGAGTATCCAGATATTGATTCCTAAGAATCCAAAATTACATAAAAACTTTAACGGTTATAAATTCAATGATTTACATAAAAGTAGATTGGATAAAAAATTATTAATTTAATCCACGCAATAAAGGTAGGATTAGTACCAAAGTGGTGATAGTGCACAAAATATGATTAGAGATGCTCTTTTACAAAAGGCGTTCAAGATCAATATATTAAGGTAGTATAGATAGACTGTTTTAGAACATCAATACTTCTATTGCAACATAAATATGTACAGAAATTATTGACAGGATCTGATACTGCCAATTTGCTCATTTCTAAAATTAGATCACATATCAGAACACTCAATATAAGCAGATAATTATCTGCTAAGGAGATCGACAATATACTATCACTTACATATACCTATAAGGACTTTTCCAAGTTCTATAGTCTTTATTATCCAAAGAGCTTTCTCAGATACCGTACTATATGTGGTGTAGATCTGCAGCAGCGCTTGAAAATTAAGCAAATAAAGAAATTACTTAGTATTAGAAATAGGATAGTTTGGCTAGTCATTACCATGTTGCACAAGTTGCTGGATTGCTATATTAATATACTACTTTTTCTCCCGCTCTCTCCACCTAATTTTCTCTCCCACCCCCCGCTACATACTCCCCACTCTTTTCCACCATAATCTTCATCTCTTTTCTCCTGTTTCTCAGAGACACTACTACTCGACATGCATCACTTTTCGTAC